GGGAGGGGGGTGACGGATGGCAAAGCCACAGAACCAAGTGGAGGTTGTTATCTGCTGGGTGCAGATGTTGATTGCCCAGTCTAGAGTGACTGCATATTTATTCTCCACATTACCAGTCAAAATAAATACCAGGTGACATCTAAGCAATGGACCCCGGGACCTGTAGAGGACACGTTTACTGCGCTGGGAGGATAACTTTCACCTGATAGGAGAGACGAAAGACACTCTCGTGTGTGTGTGTAAAGACTGTGCGAGACATGGACTGAGTGAAGTGTGTGTGCGCGGCTGTAAAGATTGCAGGTGTTGTGCTCTTCGTCGGACTTTCATCTACGTGTTATCCGGGCTAATGTTTCTATCGGGCGCGATCTATGCAGGAATCCTCCCCCCTTCCCCCGTTCTCCGGCTTTTAGACCCACAATCCTGTTACCTGATCCTTTCTCACAGAGACAGGAGAGCACCAAAGGTCCCCAACAGCGGGAATATCCCTGAAGTGGCTGTGTAGACACCCTGGGTGTATATTCCTACCCACTCGATGCGCCGTAACCCGGAGCACGGGCTGGATCGTCTGGCAGAGACCACGGGTACAGCCAGCTCTAAACGCGTGTCTGCGTGGATCTGTCTTGGTTGATTTGATTTCTTTTGGTGTGTGTGTGGGGGGGTCTTTCTCCTTGGAGGGGTGGGGGGTTGTTTCTGCTCAGGACTGAGACTTGCTGTGGAAAGAGCGAGCTTCGATCTGCCAACAATGTCAACTCTGTCCTGGCGGAGTCCAGGGAAGGGGGTGGGGACCGCCTGGATTGCCCTCGCCTTGCCCCGGCCCTTGCTGGGTCTCCCCGTGCGGCTGCACCAGCCGCGCACAGCCACTCGCGGGCGAGTGGGAGCCTAGTGCCTTTCTGCCCGCTCTTAACGAGCAATAGAAACCAAGCCGGCTCCTTCCATTGTTCGCACAGTCCCCGGGTTTGTCCACCGGGATGACAAACCCGGGCTCGGGGGCACCGGCTTTGGGCTGCGAGGCTGCGGCACATCAAAGCCCGCAATTAAGATCCGTCCCCCCGTGGGCTCCGGGAGAGGTCTGGAGCCGAGGGGGGTCACTGGGAAGTGCTACCCCGTTCCCGGGCCCGCAGCGCCCGCAGCGCTCAACTGGCCCATAAAGGCAGCTGGCAGAGCTTCCCCCGGGGCTGCTGCGGCCACGTGTGGCCGCGAGATACTCCGAATTAACACGGGCGTATGTGGGGATGGCCGCGTATGTGCGGGGGGCAGCTACAGAGCGAGGGGGTCTGGCAGTGCGACCTCGCAGAGCTGCTCGCACCAGGGTAGAGAATAGTGTATGTCCCCGAGCTCCTCATCCGGCACCCAAGCATGTCTACCCATCGGTTATTTATCGCGTGCTATACATTCAATACATCGCATGCTTTATTACATATGCGTGTCTGACATGTTAGAGCATCAGTGTTCATATAGTACGCATAAAGGAGTGCATAAACTATATAATACACAGTAGTCAATATGTAATGCTCTTAAAATGTAGGTAGATGACTGTCTTAAATACAACGCACTGCTTTATTACTCTAATATATAGATACTGTATTATATATACTACTGTATAATAGATAATGTACTGCATTATTGCTGTAATGTACATAATACCGTATTATATATAATGCCGCATAATATACGTGTTGTATTACATTTAACTGCTGCATTATATATATTTCGTTATAATATATATACACACATGAATATACACATACTTCCACACACATATATGTAGATGTGTGTGTGTGTTTATATACCTGTGTATACGAAAAGCAAGATGCACATATTTCCATTATAGGTCATATTATATACAATTTATCATACCTCAGTGTACGCGCGCCTTATATTTTATTGTTACACATATTTTACCTTGTGGTCACATATTCGGATTGTCTCTGGAAGAGCTATCCCAATTCCAGAGCCACAACGAGTCATTTCCTGCCGTCCCCCGAATTAAATACTTCTGCCTGACCAATGTGAAACACTTTCCCCAGATTTTTTCCCTGTATTCCCATCCAAGCAGCCCCCCCCCATTTCAGGCGCTGCTGTTTGCTCTGGTGGAATGATCAGTTTGTGTATTGAACCAGGTTCATTAATGAGTATCGACTTGTATTTATCCTACCAGGAGCGCCTCTCCTCAACGCTAGGGAATTTCCCTATTGACATATTAACTCCTGCCGGGGTTTGAGCAAAAGCGTGTTTAAAGGGCCCGAAAAGGTGCCAAAATATTCGTAGTGCTCCGACCTGAAATATATAAATAAATAAATAAATAAATAAAAGAAGAGGGGGAGGGGGACAAAAGCAAAGCAAAACTTGTGCTTATAAAATAATGTACAGGAGCCTGTCACGACTAAAGATGGGGGGGGGAACACTAAAGCCTAATATTATTATTTATAATTATCATCATTGTTGTTTTACTTTCTCTCTCAGCTCATTGTGGGAAGACAGCCTTAAAAGCCAAACGACCTAATTTTTCCTCATTTTTTTTTTCTTGCTTAGGTTTTTTTGTTTCTTGGTATTGTGAGGTTTTTGTTTCGTTTTGTGCGTGTTTTGTTTCCTGCGGCTGTTTTATTGTTGCTGGGTTGAGGGTTTTTTTTCTTTTACTATTAAAGAATATTAAATATTCTTTAATATTTAATTAAAGTGCCGCGGGCGGGGATTCTTGAGTTACTGCTCTCTCTACCTGAGCAAACGGATCCTCGTTCTGCATGCAGCTATATCAAAATGCAGACTCCAGCCTTTGGCATCGAGACTCCCAGGGTATATTTTTTATGTATACCTCGCTTATTCAGGGCTTTTTAAAGCTCTACCACCCATCCTCGCCTCCCCCACCACCGCTGCCGAAAGAAAGAGCTCCTCTACAAAACAGTGCCTAAGTGTTCTCTTCATTGGCAGCCTTAATGCAATGACTAACTAAACATTTGGATACTTTTCCATTAACAATTACTTTGTGAGACACTTGTCAAGCCCTCCCATTCCGGAGAGGGGGGTTAGGGGTGGGGAGGACGAGGCGAACCTTATAACTTAATCTAGGCTGCCAGCATTGTCATGGCATCCTGCATTTCAAAACCAGGAGGGAGCCGGTCGCTCCCCCAGCACCTCGGCTACGGCGAAAATCAACTCTGCAAATCCACCGGCTCCTCCGTGCTTAACCAGCCTCGCTCTGCGGAGAGTTTGGTGGCAAGACCTGCCTCGGAACTGCGCGGGGGAAATGTTTAAGTGCCTTCTTAATGCAACATTTGCAGATATTGCGCTAATTAGGTTAAACAACGGATGGCACGTGAAATGCACTGATCCACCTAGCGCTGCAAGCTCACCTTACTCTGTGCCGTCATAGCTATCGCTGCCCCTTCCTATCTATCTATCTATCTATCTATCTATCTATCTATCTATCTATCTATCTATCTATCTATCTATCTCCCACCACGCCTTCGAGTCCCTCCATCTCTGGCTGCATGTTTTCTAGCTGCTGCCATGCCTTCTCTCCACCTAGCGCAGCAGTTCAGAGTAAGAACAACTTTTTTTTAGCGTCCGTCTGTTCTTCTCTACCGCATTTATTTTAAACCGATTAATCCAGTCAAGCCATCACCTGGCGCACAAAAGTGCCCCGGTAATGCACAAGTCCGGGGGACGTGAAATCAAAGAGAAAAAGAATAGACAACTGCACCGCAGCAGCACCAGCAGCTACAGCCAGGCTCTGGCTTTGGAAAGGGGGGCCCGAGCTGCCATCCCGCCTTCTTCTCGCGTTGACTCTGGTTTTAGAGACACCGGGAGGGAGTTGCTTAAAGTAAAGCTTTAAAAAGAGAAAAACACGTTTGAATTCCTCCCCCACCCCCCAACTTCCCCGAAAAGTCCGGAGAACAAAGGGGCAGGCTGCGCGCTGGGGGGTCGGGCACCTTCCTAGCCAGGAAGGACCAAGCCAGATAAGTTTTCATCCCCACGCCGTGGCTGAACCAGCTCTTCCTGATGG